GGTAGGGCAAGAAGTAGCCGGCGAAGGGATGAGCTGATGGCTCGGTCAAGCTGGTGGCGAAGCCAGTGTTGATGTACAGCTGTGGACCGAAGCGTTAGCCGAGCATTCTGAAGTGATAGGGAGGCATGCTAATCTCTGGGGGAAGTAAGGTTTTTAGCACATACCTTGTTGTTCTTGAGGACGACGGGCCTGCCATTGATGTCACGGCTACGCACCGACGACTTGGTGCAGCTGACGACGAGATTGCACCTGCGAGCGCGATGCTCTTCGCGCCTCTCCTTCCGCTGGCCCTGGTGGATGGCTTCCTGAGTTCCCAACATGGCCGGGAGAGTAGCAATGGCCAGAAGCATGAAGGATCGGGCAAAGGAGGGGGAAGCAGTCAAAGTTGCAAAGAGGGGAGGAAGGAGAAGAAAAGGTGAGGATGCAGGCCACTGACAGGCAAGGTTGCATTTGAGAAGCAGGCGGAGGATGCATGGTCGATGACACACGGGCTGGACCGGCTGAAGGGAAGCCGTCAACAGGATGGCAGAAGGAAAGCAACAGCTGGGGCTTGGGGGAAGGCGAGTTTGGATTGGCACAAGGGGAGGCGGACGGTCCATGTCGTCTGATGTTGCTGGGTGTTGCTTGCACAGGGCGCGTACAGTGCTGCAGTCGAGTTGCACAAACAAAAGACCCAGGACCCACAGTCAAGCATCCCCCGCGCCTTGGCTTACCCACGCTGGATCCCCGATGTGGCCTGACATCCGCACTGCACTGCAATGCCAGCCTTTCAAGCCCGGGAGGACGGGGCCGCGGGCGGAGAGGAGCGGGACGGACCGCGTTCGCCAGCCAGTTAATCTCGCCAAGCAACGTCGGACAGACCCTCCTGGTGCTCCACGACACCTTGGGATCATCCTCCAGAATGCGCTGCTTTTCGTCTCGGGCTCCCGGCAACCGCTGGGCTGGGCTGGACTGCACCAACCGCGCACAGAAATGTCGAATGATCCTCGGATCATAAACAAGCCCCCTGGCGGTTGATCGCCATGGCCAGAAGACTGTCCTCTCAGTGCCGCTGGAGCAAAAAGTAACATGAACCCCAGTGCTGGGCCATTGGCCACCCTCCACCAACGCGGCTCCTGGGGACAATCCCGTGCGCCATGAAGCGCGAGTCGTATGATACGTGCCTGTGTCGAACCATGACATTCGGGCCAAAGGGGACAGCTCACGGTGCTGCAAAGACGGCATGCACGCGCAAGAGTTACGTTTGAGACATGCAGCCAGTGCCTGGATCGACTCGAGCAAAGCATTGCCAGCTCAACCCAGTCGGCTGAGACGGATCTGGCCACGGCACTCTGGACCGTTCCCTCTGCTCTGCCACCAGCATTGCTGTATATAAAGTCAACTTCATTCCGCCATGGAGTCGACATCAACGCACTCACTCACCAGTCTTCCAACCAGCCCTTCCAACCAACAACCGACCTCAGCAGTCCAACCACTCACCCAATTCCAACAAAATGGCCACTCTTTCTCCGTAAGCCTCTCTCGGAAACCTTCTCCAATGCCTCAATGGCAACTGACGCTGCTCTCACAGTGAGGTCCGCCCCGCTGGCGACAACTACGGCTCCGACACCGAGTCCGACGGCCAGGCCCTCGGCGGTCGCAGGGCCAAGAGCAACCAGGCCCTGACCACCCAGGCGGGTGCTCCTCTGGACCGCTCTGCCAGCCTTTCCCAGCCCGCTGGTAAGTCTCCCGGGGAACCCTGACTCCGCGGTCTGTTTACCTCAAACTGGACACTCACAGTCGACACAGGCTCTCTCCTCAAGGGTGCTGTTGGCGACGACGGCAAGCCCAAAGACGCCGCTCTGCTCCTTGGCATCAAGCTCGACCTCGACGCTGAGGTTCACCTCACTGCCCGCGTCCGCGGTGACATTACCATCGGCCTGTACTAGGCTGACAATCCGCAACACTTGCTACCTTCGCGGTTGCACAGTTGAGCTCTTGAATTGGGAGGGTCGGAGGTAGATTGGTGGTGGATGGTAATTTTAAACACACGCGGGACCCGCATTGGTTGGTAGGCTTGAGTTTGATTGGACAACTTTCGGATATAGGTATTCGCAAACCAGATAGTCTTCCTGAAATCTTATGCAGGTTTGCGTGGCAGCTTCTGCACTCCAGAATTGCGTGACTCGCTTAAGTTATTTGTTTCTGCTTTTTCGCGACTTCGAACTTCAACAGAAGCAAGCGATGCCGCGCCTCATGCAACAATGTGTAGCGAGGCTATTGCTTCTTGCAGCGCTGCAATCGGCGATGAGATGAGATGGGCGCATTAGCAAGCATCCCATACTCTCTGATTTCTCGCTAGTAGTAGCAGGATTTGAGATCGAGTCTCCCTCGAGGTGAGACTGCGTGAGGTCTCAGGTGGCGTGATGATCTTTGCATTTCTTCAGGCTGACAGCATTATGTGCGCAGTGTCGGAGAGCGTCAACGGCGGCGTTCTCGTATCACGGTGGCACAGGGCCACAGATGGGTAATCGATTCTGTCCGGACGGTGCTGGTTGCGTGGCAGCCTCGTCCCAGACGCGGTCGACAGCAGCCTCCTGGAAGCCCTTGGTCCAAGGAAATCTTCTTAGTACCCTCTCAAACTCATTCTTCGAGGGTATTTGCAGCAGACCGATCGCTATCGAACAGTTTCAAGGTTGATAAGCGGTTGTCATACTCATGCATATTCAGGGGTCCACTTACTGCTCCCGAGCTGCTGCATGTACCAATGCCGTTGCGGCCGCCCGTACAGCGAGGCCTCTGCCCCCACAAAAAGGATCCAAAGCAGCATTTCCAGGCTCCAATCACGCATTAGCAGCATGCGTATGTAGTCGTCCTTCAACAATTCCTGCAAATGAGCAATATAGTGCGTTCCGGCGGTGAACTTCATTTTCATGTGATGCATGGCCGTCCTAATAAATATATGTGCTGTTCGATCGTTGATCAGCATGAGTCCGTCCATCTGCATCTCGGAATGACTACCTGTGTTGGCAAACAAGTTGGTTAATAACGCAGAGTCGGTGGCTCCATTCACGGCAGATTGTGCATCCCGCGGAACTTCTTTCGATATCATCTCGCAGATGTTGTGATGTATGCTGAGAATGAGGTCCGTGACCGAGAAGGCGCCCACCTCGGAAGACCATCTCGAAGTCAGAGCAAGGTCTAAGCCGTGCATCAATCGAATCACATTGTAAATTCTGGCGTATGTGGGCCCTGGGGGAAAGCCCGTCATGGAGACTTCAGTCTGCTGAGCCGACATAGCGCAGAGAGTCGGTGGCAGCAATGACTCGATAGGAGGTAAGATGCTGGGCCAACTTGGTGCCATCTGCCACGTCCCTGCAACTTGGTAATCCAGCCAGGTGATGAAGCGTTGAAGGAAATGGCTCAAGTTCGGTAAACCCCCTTTCATGGCAACGAGCCGCCGGACGGCGTTGAGGTGCATCATGGCCCCTTCATCACCGACTGCACAAGACATTCCCGCTGCAAAGCCAATCGGATATATGAGAGAGCCAAGGTCCTCGCCTAGGCGCATTTTCCTGTTGATGATTCTGACGGCTTCAGCTTGATAGTGCAAAGTCTCCAAGCTCACAGGTAATCCTTTGGTCCGGTCTCGAACGGCACTGGTCACCTTCAGCATGCAGGAAAAGAAGGCCTCGTTCTCGAGCGACAATTGCCAGACTGGATCTTTCTGTGGGCTCTGTTTGCCACCGAGGGCGGCATGGGGATCGTCTGTACTTGTCAACTTATACTGGTCTCGACACGCCCCGGGACACACATACAATTCTTGTATGGGAAAAGAGTCGGGACATAATCGAAATCTAATGGGTTTAGCAAAGACATCATCATACAGCACACGCCACCATAGGTCGAGCCTTACAAAATCTGACCGTGCGATGAAGAGTAGGGTTTCCCTGCAACGGAAGAACGTTGAAAGGTTCAAGTACATGTGGGTCTATCTGGCTCAGATTGGCAGATTTCACAACGTCCCATTGCCGAGCGGTGGAAGATTCCTTTGCTGGGCTGAGATTGACCAGAGCGCCATGTTCAGGCACTCGGTCCCGGGAACGGCCTTGAGAGCTTCCTTGCAGCTTCGGATGCAATGTTCGACGTGAGCGAGGAGAGTCTGCCGCTGAGTAGTCTTCGGATTCCGGGTCTGAGATGCTCCTCCGCGCCCTCTTGCGCTCCTGGTAGCTGCTGAAGGTGGCATGGCTACGGATTTTGGACAGCTGCTGCGTCTTCTCCTCCTGGTCGTCCAGCTGGGTGTAAACGATGAACTCAAAGGGTCCTGGCGCCGAAGAACCGCCATCATTCGACTTGCCGGCAGATGGTCGACGATTTACTTGGCTCTGTGGCTGGCTTTTGGGACTCATGCTTCAGGTTCGCAGCCGTTCGCTCAAACGGGACATCAGTCGTCCAGCGAAGCAACAAGTGACCGCAGACCAAGCGGCGCACACAGGTTTTCTCAAGAGATGGCAGGGCTGACTGGGGACTGAGAGTGCAAGTGTATGGAAGAGTGAGTGCATGGCAAGGAAAAACAATGTACCCGAGATGGAAGTTCGAAATGCCATCGAGGGGAAAGCGCCGGTTAGGGCAACGAGCATGATTGGTGCGGGGTGGCGTTGAATCAGATCCGGAACGATCCCGGCAGCATCCAGCAACAAGCGGAGGATTCCCGCATGGTTCAGACCGGCGACGCTGAACCCACAAATCCCCGGGTCGGATTCTCGTATCCTGGAGCAACAACAAGCAAACAACTCTTGGGGAAGAAGTCACAAGTCAAAGGAAATTGCGAGCTTACGTGAGGGTGCGGGTTCTCTCCACGATCCCTATCCGAGCCGTCTTTAGCCTAGACCGGACGATCCCGAGCACCGGGTCCCGCTCGGCCCAGCCCACACACGGACCAAAAAGAACCGAGCCGAGGCCGCCAAAAACTCTGACGCATATCATCCCCCCCACAAGGTGCAAAAAGAACAAAAAGATATTGACATCGACGAGATTCGAACTCGTGCGGATTGCTCCAGCAGAATGCTAGCTGCGCTTGAAGAGGCAGTTAAGGAAATTCCTTGAGTCTGCCGCCATAACCACTCGGCCACGATGCCTGTTGCTGTGAATCCTGAGATTCACGTGCTTGATGTAAAAACATTACGCTACACGTAATATAAATCTTATACTTGTCTTACTCAAAGGATGTCGGATGAGAAAACAGTCAGTACAGATCCATCCAACGGCCTTGGGATTTTTAATTGCGGGCGGACTCGCGGTCAATGCATGTCAGTAAATAACTTACCAGGTGATCGAAGTTGATCTAGACATCGGGTTTCAGAGGACCGGCGTAGAATTCTCGTCTGATTTTCCGAAGTCGAACTAAGCCTGCACAACAGATGAAATATTGTAGACGCGTCCAAACCCGACTCAACTATCGCGGCGGCTGGTGTTCCGAGTTCAATAAGATCGCAAATCGAGGATTCATCTTGTTATTACAATATCTAGTATCATGCATCAGATCATCAAAACCTCATGCGCCGATGCAGCGCCAGTTTTCCACCATCTTGTTGAACTAAAATGCCATTACAATTTCAACAAATACTCAAAATTCATAATTTCTCATGGTCTCATTAATCCTGAGCGGGTGCATCGCAGCGTGTCAACTAAAAGTCCTTGCGAGCATGCCTGCTGTATTTCTGCCGCAGCGTCTCACCATACTAGCTTCTGTTAGTAAGGGGCTTTTCCGTGAAGGGGCGGTCAAGACTTACCTTGTACAAGACGAATGGAATCGGAATAAATGCGATAGAGAGGAAGCCGAGCAAACTGCTAGCCCATCCGACGCCTAAGTTGTTGTACATGGCCGCTGCAAAGAGCGGAAAACCGGCTCCGAAAGACGATCTCATAAAGTCGTTGCCGGCGAGCACAGAGGCTGCATACTCTGGGTACGCATCGGAAAGGTAGTTCAGCACCGCGTTGAAGAGCAGTAAAGCGCCGACCGAGAAGAATCCAGAGCCAATGATTGGTACAATCCAATGTATACTTGCTCTGCTGGTCCAACCGAACCAAAATAGACAGATTGGGATGGCGAAAGCGCCGACGCAAGCGGCCGGAAGACGCTTCTCCGGCTGGATCTCGCCGCGATCGTTGAACTGTTTTTCCTGGACGAAGTAGAGGTAGGCGAAGAAGAAGGGAATGGTGATGATGGCACCGACGAAGATACCGAGGAAGGAAAGACCTTCTTCGCCGAGGTTGAAGCCGTATATTTCGACAAAGACGATGGCGAAGGACTCGAACCAGACGTAGAGGAGACCGTAGATGAGAGCGATGTACAGGTTGAGGAGGAAGACCATTGGCTCGGTGAAATTAAGGGTGAAGGGTCGTACGAGGGACATCATTACAACCTAATTTCTCGGTCAGAGTGGTCTTACTTCGAGGATGTCGCTTAAACTTACCTCCTTGGGAGTCATGCTCTCAGCCATAATCTCAGGCTCGCACTTGAGTTTCTCGTTACCCGTGAGCTTCCGGAGTCGGCGGGTACGGCGGTACAAGATGTTCGCGGAGCTTGTTTCCGGGAGGAAGAAGATGACAAAGACGAGACAGAACCCAGACAGCCACATGAGCTCCCAGATCGTCCAGGTCCAGCCCTTGGACTGAGCAGCGAATCCTCCAACAAGCGGACCCAACGTAGGACCGCAGACAGCAGCAATACCCCAAATGGCCATGCCGTAGGCACGCTTGCTTGGAGTATACATGTCACCGATACTAGCGCCGCCAGTGGCCAGCACGGGCGAGCCAAAGAATCCGGTGAGGAATCGGAAGGCGAGGAGCATGCCGAAGTTAACGGCGAGAGCGGTGGGTACCTGGAAGATGACGAAGACGGCGAGAGTCGCAATATAGACTGGGTTTCTTCCGATCATTGGAATTTCCGACATGGGAGACCAGAGCATCTGTATGATGTCAGTATTCGTATTTGGTAGCTGGTTGTATCGAGGAAACTGACAGGTCCCAGACCATACCCAGCAACGAACAAAGTAAGACCCAACGTCGCCGCGACTTGGCTTACGCCGAACTGTTGCTCGACGGTTATCTCACCGGGAGTGTAAATAGCCGAACCGATGTAGATGCTGAAGGTCAAGAGACAAATCTCAAAGGTAACGAAGAACTTCTTTCCCTGCGACCAATTTTGAGGATTCTGGCAAAAGTCAGTCACTACTCCCAAAGGAATCCGGTAGTGTGCAAATACCTCTGGGTCGTCTGGTCCCCACCAATCTACGACATGAACATCTCTTCCCTTCTCCGAGTCCACTTTGACACCGCTCGGCTTGTTGAAAGCGGCACCTTCGTCCTTCTCTTTCTCTGCACCCATGAGTGAGTGATCAGATGAGGTATTCGACTGCCTGTGTGATGCGTTGCCATTGTTTCCTTCAGTATTTGACTCCTTCTCCGGCGGTCCGACATGGCCGTGGTGTGCAGCGTTCCCTGACTTCTCCTTGCTTATGTATCTCTCAACGAGAGAAGGATCCCTCTCTTCCTCATACTGCAAGTACTTGTTCTTTGTCACTATCCGCACCAGTTTTCCGAAGAGAGTATCCCTGAAAAGCTCCGACATTTTGACGATGAACGATTAGGCGAGGGCGATAGAAGGGACACCTTTGCGACTGGAAGAAGAAGACATGGTGTATACATATTCGTCGACACAGTGCTGCCCTAGGCGCCAGAGCACAACGTCATAAGTGCAGAATGCTCAAGCGTCGGAGCTCGGTCGCAGCATGGACCGCCATAGACAGATCTAAAGTTAAGAGGTCCTGGAGGCGTGCTACGATAGCTTAAAGTCTATGACGCCTGTCTGAAGTCGGGCCCCTTGTTCGCCGCCATTGAGAACGCCAAATGTGCGGTCCGTCGGCTTGGCCTTTCTCGATCCCGGCAGCTTGCGGCTCTCTGCATCTCGATATTCTGCTCCGTTGCAGATCGCCAACTCGGCCGACCTCGATATGCCTTTTCGCCCGGCCCAGCACCACAGCTCTAGCTGGCAAAGGGGAATGATCGCTTTGTCATGCCTTGCGAAGCTTGAAGCTCTTGTCGCCGGAAGCAACCGCCGCGCTCCCGTTGGAGGATTTGCATTATTCAGCCCGAGAAGATCGCTTCCACGTGCGCGCGTGTTTCTGCAGTCCATGGTGGCGGGCGCACGATGCAGATGATGACGGCTTCCTTAACTATCTCTCCTGGGCGTCCACGGACAACACTTCGTCTTCAGCTCCGGCTCTTTCTCATCATCTCTCAGGCCGTCAACACAGTTTGCAACAAGCGCAGTCCTGGCTTTGGTCTAGACGGTTCACTCGGCGTTCGTGGACGGAGGTCTTTCATCCATGGATCTCAGACGGCGGTCACCACACCGCAAGCTCGCAGCCTAGGCTCGAACGTCGGCAAATCTGGAGGTTCAGAACATGCCGGTCATCAACGCGCGGTGCAGGCGATGAACGCGTTTCGCGGTGTACGATCGCGCTTCTGTCTCATCAGAGGGTGTGTTGGTTTCCGGGTGTGCGTCGGAGGTCGTTCAGGAATGCGATCCGAGGGTGCTGCACACAAAAGGCAGATAACGTTAGGGTCCATCTTCTAACATCAGAACTCCGACTCGACTTCAACATCCCCAAGCAGGTGCAATGTCCACCACAGTAGTTACGTGACTTTTCAAACCGACCACCTTGTAGTCGGCAGTCAACACGGTCTTCGAATGACATGCTAATGACAGGGGTCTCTCGCTCTTTCATGACGGTGTCCAGTCCATCAAGGTGTTTACTTTTGAACATAGTACTCAGTTTCTTTGAACACCACAGAACCATTTCCTATAGAACACTCTTACACCCTGCACCTTCTCTGATCCTCTAATCCTTCTACTTGCCTGCTATCATGTCTGTCACTGCTCTATCCTGCGCCATGACCGCTTCCTCGCCCTACAAAGTCCAGTCGCAATGGTCACTCCTCCCTGCTGAAGTTATTCTCGAGGTCCTCTCCGATCTTGACTTCGACTTCCAAACTCTTCAGAACCTTCGTCTCGTCGACAGACGGCTCAACGGCATTCTCAAGACTTTTGAGCGTTCGCTAGCAAAGCAAATCGCCTCCAAGCAATTCCGCCATATCCTCCCCCGCTTCCCAGACCTTGCGCCGCCAAGCCGTACACTCTCCTTCGAACTTCTAGCCCATGTGAACTCTCGGCACTCAGCGGTATCAAAGCTCAAGTCTCAAGCGTTCAAATACATCGGCGCACCATGCCGTTGTTTCTGTCGTGTGGGCTGGGAGTCTATGTTCGAAGCCGGCACGCTCTTATTCTACCAACTCTACGATCGCAAAGACTATGACAGCAAAGTGGCCTTCATCAAGTCGTTACCGGATATCTCCTTGGCGGCGATGTTCGCAATGCTCTTCCAATGCGTCATCGCTGCTTCGATAGGCGGTGTTGGCCTCATCCACCAAGACAACCAACCTGACGATCCGATGGCACGAAGCGATGTCCATCTGGTGTTCGAAGATTTGGTGTTGCAGTTTGGGCCGCAATTCGCGATTGACATATTGGACGGAGACCACGAAGCTGCTGAGTATGTACCTATTCCCCAATCAATAAATCGTTCGCATTCGCATGAATTTGGAAATGGAGGAATCCCCGCTAACCCCCATTACAGAACTCTCGAATCTCAGTGGATCAACCTCGAGTCCGCTCAGTTGCACAATTTGGACGGAGAGACTCCACGGCAGTCACTGATCAGCGTGCTAAAAAGAACATTTGCTGACCAAGCCGGATGCTTGATATGCGAGGTTGCGGGCAAGATGTTTGCCATGGCAAAATCCAGGAAAAGCCATGACATTGTCGGATTGCTGGCTGTAGATGTGCCTTCGAAACACAAGTGTTGCTAAGATACCCATCCCTGGAGCGGAGCTTTTTGCACGGTTGGCGTGGTCGGTTTTCTGTTATTCGATGCGATGGTGCATGGTATGGTGAGGTTTAAAAGGGATCGGCTGGGTTGCATTGGAGCGAGCATTGGAGTGGTATCGAGCCTTGACTAGAGCATGAATTCAAATAAATAATTTTCGAAGCATTGAATACGAGTGCGCAGATGTC